TTTCGTTTGCAGTGCTGAGCAATCATGTTTGAGTAGATTTGGGTTGCATGGAAATAAACAAACCCTGCAAAGAGCAAAAGAGAGATTATATTTGCTTAGATTAAATTTCAAGACCATCAGCTGTCATGTGATGAAGAGTTATGTCTTTATTAGGTTTTTTTAAAAACAAATTTATCTTATTTATCTTCATTATCAAACAATTACAGGTGCACAGAACAGGAATTCTTGGCCCAAATAGGCTTTGTTGTCCCAAAGGCTGAGTCATCAGATGATAACACATGGGTATCTGGGTTAGGTAGCAGGTGTTGTAATCTTAGCTTTTCTTCTCCTGCTACTATTTATTGATTTACCTTTGAGCAAAAATTGAGAGTTGTGTTATAAGACACCCTTTTCAAAAGGTTTACAACTATGCCTTACAATTTTTTCCACCATTGTCACTGGCATGACACCACAGGGCAGATTTGGCTGTAAGTCTTAAAGATATTAAATGAGTGTTGGATGGGTTTAAATGCAATGCCAAGTTATTCTGACATCAATAAACTTGTTACACATTTAATCAGCTGGGATCAAATTTGGCATTCTGTTTGTGCTATAGATTGTCTATAAAAGCTATCCTGCCATTGCCTTTTAGTTTATGAAGTCCTGTGAATTCATCCCAATTTAGCACTTTGAACCAGATGTGATGAGTGAGGGTGGGATTCAATGGAGAAACCAAAAAACACTGTAAATGACCTCTCAGTCATAAGGTAGACCGGCCCTAAAGCTCTGCTTAATTGTCTCTCTGTATCTAATCAGAGCCATTATTTAAAAAAAAAAAAATGAAGACCCTGGTGTATTTAACATGATTTGAGACAAGCAACTGGGACCATGACTCACCAGAAACATCTTAAATGGGACCATAGAGCAAGAGAGCATTATGGTCTATTTCCTACAGACTTCTTTTCAATGGCAACCAGAAGACTCAGCCTCTGCTGGTGTTTGGAAATAATGCAGGTCTAAGGCACTGTGACTGTCTTAAATCTCAGTCCATTTAGAACCTACCTCAGTCTTTTAGATATATTTGTGATATTGCATGGATCCAATGCCAAGTAAATAGAGGGCCAGTATTGCTGATACCGATAGCGATACTGATAACTTTAACCTATAAAGGCAGCTTATGTAGGTGAGATCAGTATGTCATGTTTTATGAGATCACCTCTAAATCCCTGTGGTTTTTATTTTCCATAATAATAAGTTAACACAACAAAACAGGCCTTTCAGCTTTTCATGTATTTTGAAACTGGATTTCTTTTTTTGGAGACCTGAAATGTAAATGTGTGCTGCATACTGAATCCTAGTGGTTAGAAATAAAGTATCCTTTCTATTGCGCTAGTATCGATCAGATACCGATAGCACCGTATGTATATCGATAAACTATTGGTATTTGGATCAGTTCTCCCACCTCTAATATTTAGTCTAGATTTATGTCCATCTGACAATATTTATTCTTGTTTTAGCTGTTTCTGAAACTCTTAAAGAGAAAAATTTGGCATTTTAGCTGCTAAATTCTACTGTGTCGATTATTTAGTCAGAGGGTGTTTTAAAACACACCAAATTATTTTGTCTACTGAGTGGTATAAATTTTTTTTTCATTTTTAGCGGCTGCCTTGACAACAATGGCAACTTAATAAGTAATTTTTGAAAATGCATATATTTTCAGAAATTAATAAATCGATTTATTGGTAGGATTTCTGAGGATTAATGTTAATTAATGGGGTAAACCTGTTGCTTAAAGGATAACCTTCAGTTCTTGGAACTGAGCAACAACCATAACATAGCAGATCCCGCCCTCCCTGCAAATAGATGTAACAAAGAATTGAGATATGGTGACAATTAACCTGAGATTAAAGGTTTAATGAAAACCAAAATCAGTCGAAAGGCGACATAAAGTTCTTGGAGGGCTGAAATGACATTTAAAGTTTGAGCTGCACTAAGCCACCGAGTGAGTTAATTATTGAGCACCATTATAATCGGTTGTTTATTGCATTGTGGTTAGAATTAGTCATTGTAGCCGTAACTCCATTATAAACTGACTCCTTGTATTTTGTAATGCAGGACACCCCCTCCCTGCACCACCACCACCTACCTACAACACTCACACACGCACAGAGATTCAGCAAGAATACCATACACCGTCAGCACATAACCTCAGTTCCCTTCTTTTTTTTCTTTTCCTGCACCTTACCGTGGCCGCATTCTCCTCGCTGTCTTCGGGCACATCTGTCGGCATCTGCAAACTGAAATCAAGCGATCGGAAATGAGGACTCCAGAAGATATACAGGGAAGAGCATCATCACCATTCTTCCTCCTCACCCATGCCACCCCCCACCCACCACTCTCACTTTATGAACCCCTTATCAAACAGCCCGGTATGATCTCTCACCTGTCAGGTGGTTATCAGCTACTAAAAAGTAAGCACTAAGCGCGGTCTCTCTCTCTTTCTCAATCTTCCCTCCCTAGCGCGCTCTCTCTCTCACTCTCTCCCCCCCTCTCTCTATCTCTCTCTCACTCTCTCTCTCTCTCTTCATTTCGCTCTTCGCTGTCATTCTGTGTTCTCAGGTTAGGGCCCAGGTCCAGATCGGTAAGTCAGTACTGCCATTCATCATCAGCACTCCACAGACTGACTACTGTGACTCACTGACTTGACGCCTAAAAAGCTCTCCAGATCTTGATTTGCTGCCTAGAGAGGAGAGGTGACACCACTACCACGTGCTGGAAATGTTTACTGCAGGTGCATGCAGCCCGGTGATAGCAGTGAAGCGTGATGCATGCGTGCATGTAGGGAGCAGTGCTGTAGGAAGATGCTCAGAGTCACGAAGCATTCACTGACCTCTGGTAGATGGAGGCGATGCAGGAAGCGGCCGCTAGGGGGCATTATAACATAAGTAATCACATTCCTAATTGACTTTTTGTGTGTGTGTGAGAATGTTTAAAATGTGTTATTAGGTTATCCCTGCTGTAAAACAGAGACTTGATTGCCTACCCATTTGCTTACAAAGTTTAATAGCCCTATTTTTTATTTTCTTTGAAGACACTGAATATTTTATTTGACAGATTAATTTCCAGTTCACCAAAGTATTTTCTGGTCTGTTATCGAAGGAGTGTATATGAACATGTTTTCTGTCAGAGTGCGAACATGGCCATGAGCAGTGGTGTGTCCCTCCCACACAAAGCCACAATAGACTCCGGCAGTGAGCAGCCAGGGCGCTATTATAGCCCTAATCCTGCTCCTATTATACAGGCCAGAGAGAGAGCGAGAGACACAGAGAGGGAGGTAGAGCTGAAGATGAGGTCATCCCAAACAGCACACACCCAGGGTCACTGCCTCACTATAGAGGGGCAGAGATAAAGAGAGAGATGGAGCCGGACATGGTGCTGCAGAGAAAAGGCTTCCAGGAGATTGACAGTGGCAGATGCTAGGATAGGTGAATCGAGAGATGAGGTTTAAACCTGTGTGCAAGGTGTTAAAAAAACCCTGACACATCACAGGGATGGTAAAGTAATTGGTTTATTGTATATGCATATGAAACCACACTACAACAGGAGCAGGAAACCATGATAAGGGCCTTTGTTGTAAAATAATGTTAATTCTAATCACAAATGAATAAAAGAATAAACTGTAGGAAAGTAAAAATACACGCTAATGGAGTAAAACCAAAAAAATAATTAGAATCAGTACATAAATAAACAATAAATACCAAATAAATAAGTGAATAAATAAAACAACAATTTATGTAACCTATACCCAAACAAAATAAATAATTCTAATGCATTAACCCTGGCAATAAATTCATGGGACAATTAAGAATGTGTCTCCATGAAGATTTTCTTTTAAATCTTTTTTTTTTTGCATTTTTTTTTCATCCCTGCACCATAAATTTTCTGTTGCATCAGTAGCCCACAGTACCCGAGTCCACAGTGACCAGCTCTGTGGCGCTGCATGTTGTAGTAATATGAAAATGATCTGTGTTTTCACAGAGCAATGCTTTTTCCTTTTCTCTCTCTCTCTCTTTTTTTTTAACAGAGGTATTCCTTCTGCCCAAAAATAGCTTCCTAGTCTGAAGAACTGGACACAACCACACAAATCATGCCACACTTTTTTTTCTTTTTGCTTGCTGAAATGGGTTGCCTCTTTTTTCATTTGCAGTTGCTTGAGTTGAGCACACTACCATCCCCGTGTCTCTGTATGTAAAAACCCATTCTCGAGAGCACACAGCAAGTCTGTTAATGGCTGAAATTTGCCAATTCCAACTGGCAAAAGTACATTTCTTTTCTAAAACAAAAGGTCAGTTTCCCCGCTATTCATTTAACACAATCACTGGAAGATATTCTTGTACATTCTTTAATCTATGATTATTAATCTTACAAAGAATACCAGGTCTTGGTGAGCTTAAACACTTTGGTAGGCAACTGTGAAATATTAGCTTAACTGCATGCCATGGATACTTTATCCAAGCCCATACCACTCCACATCCAACACCACTGCACTACTCAGACCTCTGCAGCTTTAGCAGCTTAATATAAAAAGAAAAGAAAAAAAAAACAACTACACTGAGCCTCAATCACTCACTTGCAAAGTACATTGCAAATATGTAATATTGCATAGATAACAATATCAGACACTATAATAGTTTTATTGCAAGATAAAGCTGTTTTTTAAAATCCATTTTCAGAGTAGTGTTTGTCACCTGTTGCACTGATATCACCAGCAGAAGCTCTCAGGAAACTGTCAGTCAGTTTTTTGTGCAACCATGATTCACATTTAAGTAAATCTGAGCCTGTGAAGCAGCCCAGGGCTGAGTCTAACCCTATTAATTAACAGTCAGTTCCCCTTTAGTCATTCAAGGGTGGTTTTCACAGTTGTACTGTCTTCGGGCACATCTGTCGGCATCTGCAAACT